TCAACATAACACCATGGCTTTACTTCTTATACTTCGTTTTTATACTTTTCTGCTGGATGGTTAAGACCAAGGTAAAGCAGGACCTATGCAACATGAGTTGTAGCTTTTGGTAGACCCCACATTTTTGTTTCGCAGCAAAGCTGACATGCTTTGCTAACAAGTTTTCTACTGTATAATGTAATTATTTATATTAAAGATGTGCGGGTGGATTTGGGCTGAAAAGGATAAAAATGCAGTAGTAGGTGTATTGAAGATATAATTTGTTTTGCAGTATCATGTAAACAGTATTTTATGATTAATCTTTGGAAGCCAGAGAGAAATTCATGTGATTTAAAATGGGAAATACACTTCTTTAGTAGAATGTGAAAAGTTTCTTACTAAATTTTATGGTCCTCTGTGGCAGAGGACTTAGTGTATACTGTGACTCACAGTTCTCTCCCCAGTACTTCATGGAGAAGTCCTATTACAAATGAAAACTTAAACTTCTGAAACTTAATTATTTGGCATGAGACAGTGATTCAGTTTCATTTTGATTTTTGAACATTAAGAATTCTTACTTGGGGGCTGGCGAGATGGCTCAGTGGTCTAAAGCACCTACTTGGAACAAGCTTGGCAAAGCACAGGGACTGCGGTTCGATCCCCCAGAACCACATGCCAGCCAGCCGCGCCCCCTGGTGGGCTGAGCTGGCCACACACACACACACACACACAATAAATAAATAAATAAACTTTAAAAAAAAAAAAAAGAATTCTTACTTGGCTGGGTGTGATGGTTCATACTTGTAATCTCAGCACAGGGGAGGCTGAGATGGGAGGAGTGATGTGAGTTTGAGGCCAGCCTGGTACGTAGTGAAAGGCCAAAAGACAAAAAATCTTATTTGTATTTTCACATTTTTTTGGTGTCTCCAGGTGATTAAATACCCAGAATTGTGATTGTAGCTTTTTTTTGCACAGTGTATGAATCTCATAGCTTATGAAAACCTTTTCATAAAAATAAGATATCTTTGTTTTTTCAGTACTTTTCATGGAGGTATACTGTACATAGAGAAAAATGATCAGATCAAGAGTACAGTTCAGTGAGCTTTTACACAGCAAACATACTTGTGCAACCAGCTCCCAGACGTTCCCCTGTGCGTCCCGTTTAGTTGGCCAGCTCCGAAAGGGTAATTCTGTCCTAATTTCTCTCACACTGGAGACTATCGCTCTATCACATCTTTCACTTGTATGTATTTCTCTCTACTCCTTTTTCTGTCAGCAGTTCACAAAGTCTACCCGAGGAGGAATTGTACTAGCTATGGTGCCATTAGAGTCCTATAGAAAAAATCTTGTTATAAATGATGTGCCCATTAATATTTTCATACCTAAAACTATTTTGCCTATGTTTTGGATTCTTTCTTTTTTGTGTGCAGGGTCTCACTACGCAGCCCAGACTCGTAGTGATCCTCCTGTTTTCCAGCCTCCCCATTGGTGGGATCACAGGCCTGCGCCACCACGCCCCGACTCCATTGCTGGCTCAGTGTGCCCTGGTGGTGGTGGGGGCATGTGCTGAGCATGTCGTGCCAGGGATTGAGCCCTAGCCCCTGTGCTTGTCTAAGCAAGTGTTTAGTCCGCTGAGCTGTGTCACTGGCTCTTCTTTCTGA